CGAAAGAGGGGGACAACCTATTTCACCCCACCCCTTCTGCACCACACCAGGCCACATGCCCTGAACATGGGGAGGGTGCTTTGCCAGAGGAGGCCTCTGGCAAAGCATATTGTTCCCATGTTGATGAGGACAAGGACCTCTTCCCCCACAACCACCAGGCCAGGGTTGTGGGGGAAGAGGTCCTTGTCCTCATCAACATGGGGACAATATGCAGGCAGGGGGGCTTATCTATATCTGGGTACCCCCTTTCATAAAGGAGGCACCAAGATGCCACACCCCCCCGTAAATGAGTAAGGTGTAGCAAATGACAGTTCTGCTTAGGAATGTAATCAAAGTGGCAGTGTCCAGTGACGTCATGATTTGCTCCGTCCCTTTGTTTACATTCAGTGCAGAGCTGTCAGATGCGGCTGGAGTTCGTCTTATGTCGTTGTGAGCCGTGATTGATTTTTTATTTTCTTTCGGTGAGCGGTGGGCATTGTGATTGACAAGGAGCTACATCGCTGAATTATGTGATTGACAATTGATTTACATTGTGGGATGTTTTTTATTTTTTATTTTTATGAATGCAGGACTTGTCAAAAACTGCGGTGTGTTAATTTACTATCTTACTGTTTATTTGGTTAAGAGTAGGGCTGACAACTACCCATTACTCAATCACGAGGGGGAAGGGGCGGCATCTGGGTGCCCCCTTTATGAAAAAATTAGGAATCGTTATTGTTGCCATTTAAAAATTTAGATGCATCCGAATGTCAATTCGGAACGAAACAAAACTTAAATTTCTACTGTATATTTACTGACCAATTAAAGAAGAATGTGGCATACCTTGCATACTTGACCTCCAACAAGGATTATTTTTAACACCCATGTGCTCTATAGGACAAAATTATTATTTTCTTATTGAAGAATAATAATGGCTAGAAAAAAAATCAGAAAGTGAAATACCCCATTAAATTAGTAGTTAGTGGTAGAGGTGTTGGTTGCATGGTGGTCAGTGGAAGAAGGGCCTCTTAAAATGGTGGTAGTCAGTGAAAAGAATACCCCATTACACAGGGTAGTACCCCACTGCATTAATGATCAGTGGAAAGGATACCCTACTACATTACTGTAGATTAATGAGAAAATATGCTCCCTTTACAGACAACAGACAAGATAATTGGTATCAGTGGTTGCTGATGAGATAAAAAGCTCGACTGGACCATCAACCTGGTCCTAAGGTTCACTGTTGGTCCATTGATTCGATGAGCAACCTCAATAATCAGTAGCAAGCCTGGTATGTCTGTTTATTAGAATTGCAATGTAAAAGGTTAGCTTGGAGATTGTCCTTCTTACATCTGCAATCCACTAAGTAGACTCCTGCAAAACAAAAGCCACTGCAATAAACCCAGAATGTTGAGATTTGTATTGGTGACTATTATAAACATTTATGGATCCATGTTTGCTTGTGATAATTTAGAAACACTTCAACACATCCAGATCCTGAACAATGTAATCTTTGTGTAAGGTAATGGTGCTCAGTCCGTGAACAAGCAGTATTCTATGAAGATTGCCCAGCTGGCGCAAGATGCGGAGCAGGCGAAAACTGAACTGGCTGACGCTCAGAAACAGCTGCAAGAACTAGAGAACAAAGAGCTGAGGGATCAGGTCCAGAAAGCAAAGTTACAGAAAGACTTCCGTAAGAAGATGGAGGCTGCAAAATTAAAAATGCAGGTAGGTTTTTGATGTTGGACTAGATTCACTAAGTTCTAACAAATTTGATATTTGCTCTACAGAGTACTATTTACATCAGCCGTTGCCCCTAAAGGAGCTTACAATGTACAGTCCATAGCACACATAAACATGACAGTTTAAAAGATTACTATGCTGTTAATTTGTGACAAGAAACTAGACGACCCTGAGGATGGCCATGCACATATTGAGCATATACAAACTAAGGACCCAGGATTGCAGTGCTGAAGGGCCACAGTGCTAACCACTGAGCCACTTTGCTACCCAGAATAAAGTGTAGGTAGCATAAACTTTAAAATGACAGACTGTATAGGGTAATAATGCCGGTAGTTCTGCTGGAGTAAACATTGCCACTTAAAAGCAGAACTAAACTGGAGAAACAATTTTGGGCCCTCCAAACCCTTTTTCCATGATAGGCAAGTATGCTTGGCACACATACCTCCAACGCTGCAATGTCTACACTCCCCTCCATTGCTGGTGCTTCCATTTTAACTTATTCTTCCAGGTTCAGAGTCTTCCTTCGTCTTGATTGGCCAGGCCAGGGTGAAGTAATTCTTGTGCATGCTTATGGGATTCAACAGGGCACAACATTGTGCCATGTGCTGCTCAGTGTACAATTAGAGGAAACAATGCTGACAGGCTGGGGACCAACCTTTATGGCAGAAGAGGGGGGAAAAATCTCTTCTGTGATAAAATGCTACATAACTAAATTTAACTCTTTACGTGCCGTTTACCTTTCATTGTTAGGATGCAGATGCTGTCAACTGAAGTAATTATGAGACCTTAAAGGACTGTTTATCCAGAAAAAAAAGGTTTTATTTGCATTAAATGTAGTAAAGTAAAAAGAAACACATGTAAGCAAGTTGTAAGTGTTGGCCTTTCTCTGGTTGCATAGTGTGCTAAAGAAACATTTATATTGGTAGTAACTTTATTAAAAACAACTGTACTGTAAACAAGCCCTAGTAGATCCATAGCTGGCAATAAAAAAGTAAACAATTCAGATTGTTATAGAAGTACATCAGAAAATGCGTTGCATATGGATTCCTTGTTTTACTTTCCCATAGGTACTACAGAAGAAACAGCAAGACACAAAAAAACTTGTAAGTCTTTCTGTTCAGAATGAGAAGTGTGTATCCGATCTGGAGAAAAACATTCAGAGCATGCAACAGCAACAAAGTCAGTTACAGAAAAAGCTGAAAGAAGAGAATGAGAAAAAACGGAAATTAGAACTGGCCGTTCAAAAGGACCAACAGCAAATTAAGGTAAATGGTGGTGCAAATGCTGTGCCAATTTAGAAAACATCAAATATAGTCTGAACTGTAGCTGTTAAATTAGTTATTCAAATGAATTGTCACAAACCTGCGCAATTTAAACTGAGTATATCATGAAAAATGCTTACGCAGAGGTTATGTTCAATGAAAACTGTATGTTAAGCTAATCTGGGCCCCAGGTGAGAGCTACAGTAAGGGGAACTGAAACTTGGATACTGGTTCTCATTTGCATGTATTTATTATGGATGTTTACATTAGTATGTATGTATGTGTAGTATCAGTATATTCGGTTTTTTTTTTTGTTTTTTTTAAATATTGTCTTCCTCTAAAATTTGTATTTGTATTATGGACTGCATCCTTTTAGTCTGAACTTAATGTATGTACTGTTTTCAGTGTCTTTTAGGACCTCTATGAGGGATCATTCATACTGTAGTGCTGCAGAGGAGTTTACCACACCCTCGCAATGCATGTAAATCAAAAGCAGTGTTTCATTTTATAGGCAGTACTACAGTTTAGATCAGAAATGAACCAAATTACTAAGGAATTCGGGATCCAGTCTATCCAATCCAGGAGCCAGCAGGATTTTATTTTAGGAGTCAGCTTCATTGACAACAGCTAAAGAAAACCTAAAAAGTTAGTCACAGCTGTAATTTTTAAGGAACATTGGCTACCTTGCTCCTGGAATTTGTCCAGCCCTGGTTTACATCAATGCAGGTTACACTATATGGTATGAACCCAAACTCCCTAATGCAGCTTCTTGGTTGCACTTTTAAAAGACTGCAGTGGTAAGCATCCCACAAAGACACCTGATCACTGCCCTGAAACTGCACAGAAAAGACCTGGGGTTCTAGTACTCATGTCTGAACAAACCATTATCATAAATTGAGTGTATGTGTTCAGAAGTTCTGTCTGTGGCTGATGTATTTCGTAAACCCAAATATAGCAGGCCTGCAGAGGAACTAACTGCTTTTTTATTTAATGTTTTAAAATTATACCTACCGTAGATGTCCTCCAAATGATCAAATTTGATATTCCTCCAATGTTCCTTAGCTTTGGCTAAAATATCAGGAAGTCCTTTTTTTTTTTTTTTTTCTTGTGAAATTTTTCTGAATTTAGTAAGTGAGATTAGTAAGTTTGTTTGTTTTTTAGGCCAAAACCATCCAAAATATCATTCCACCTCCTATAAATCACTCCTAGAGCATGCCTGCATTTTACAACTGACACCTTGGAGTGATGCAACTTTTTAAGCCAAAATAGGATAATTATTACTATTAACATATTGTATATATGTTCTTTCTTTTTCAGGTTGCAGTAAAATGAATAATCCTTATTGTTTCAAATCTAAAGCTCAATTTTAATATGTAGAGCCTATCAACTTCAATATGCTATTATGTTTCAAAATTTTATTGTTTAGGAGCTCCAACTAAAGACCGAGCAGCAGCAGAAGATGCTGAAGCTGAAAAATGAGGAGATTGCATCTATTCGAAGACAGAAGAGCGCTTCCAGTATACCAGACCAGCTTCAGCTAGTGAGTTTTGGCATTGATTTATTCTTAACTAGAGTGTATCTGTTTTAGGCTCAGTACCAGTGGTCATCAAGTTCAGGCTTGATAAAAAATACATAAGAGGCAGAAGGAGATAAAAAAGCTGGAATTTTGATGGACAGATTGCTGTGTGTAAGCAAAGCTCAAGTTAGGGGGTTATATGGGAACTGTTTTGGTGGACTTGGTGGGACTCCCCCGCACTGCAAGGGTTAAGTGCTTGTTTTGTAGGGGACTCTATTAAAGCTGTTTTACTTACTTGATCCTCGGTCCTGCTGGTCCCCTCAGCCTCTTCTCCCCTTTGCTCCAGCAGTCCAAGGACCACTGAGATCATCACGTCTTTTGCAGGTCCATAGAGTCTATAGCTCGAGAAATGAGCGATCGCAAACCACTGATCGCTCAGCTCACGGCTTCTACCTGCAGAGAGCAGTGACTGTTAGTCACCGCTCCCTGCAGGGATTCCCCCCTCCTCTCTATATTCCTCCAGCGCACACTGGAAGGACAGACGGGAGGGGGACATGCACGGCTAGCTCTGGCTCTAGATGGGCAAAGCGGGGTGGATCATGACAAAAATGTCACGATCCTTTCCAGCTTCAGAGTGGCTCTGCGCTGTCGGCAAGTTGCGGGCAGTAGCCTGCTATATACTGACTTTGGGTCACAAGAGTACATTAGTAAATAAACTCCTGTGACCCAAAAGAGAACTAAAACCAAAAATGTTTGGCTTTAGTTCTCTTTTAGTTAATTACATCATTATTATAGGTAAGAGATTAACACTAAAACATTTGATTAAAAACTATCTTCCTTCTATATCTGAAGTCAAATCTCATTTAATAGAGCTTCCCAATATTCAAAAATGATATATTTGCATAGTGAATCAGTTACTGACCGTGCCGTCTTTATGGATTGCTGGAAATTCCCCTTAATTCTCTGCCTGTTTTAGAGGCTAATAGGCTACTGGACATATACAGAAAGCATGAAAACTGAGGTTTAAGCAAACTTTTCCTGATTTAAAAAAAATATTCTCATCCCACTGTAGTGCATGCAAGCACAGCCTATATGCTGCTCTGAATTCAGAAGTAGTGCAGTAGCATTGTCTTCCCATCAGTGAGTTGCATGTGGTGGACTTTACTTGTACTATCAACAGGTATTTCTAAAATTGTGCATGGGTATTACAGAAAAAAACTATATGTGCTTATTCACTTCTAAGTGTTGCATTGTATTTATTTCTTTATTACAGATATTTATATAGCACTGACAATTTGCACAGCACTTTACATAGTTACACATTCACATCAATCCCTGCCCTCAAAAGAGCTTACAATCTAAGGTCCCTATCTCACATACATACAGGGCCAAATTAGAGAGGAGCCGAATAACCTACCAGCATGTCTTTGGAGTGTGGGAGGAAAGCGGAGTACCCGGAGTAAACCCACACAAGCACAGTGAGAACATGAAAACTCCTTGCAGATAGTGTCCTGGCCGAGATTTGAACCAGGACCCCTAGTGCTGCAAGGCAGAAGCGCTAACCACTACGCCACTGTATTATTGCAGTGTTGATGTCGTTTACCTAATGCAAACTGATTTTGAATGTTACAGAATTTGGGCATTTTGAACTCTGTGATGTATGCCGTGTGTTGCATATTTGTGTAGATCTTATAAAATTACTTTACCCTTCTGTTTATCCAGAAAATGGAAGAACAAAAGAAGTGGCTTGATGAGGAGGTTGAAAAGGTATTGAAGGAGCGTCATGCTCTGAGTGATTTGGAGGAAGACTTAAAGAAAAGGGAAGAGAGTGTTGCCAAGATGGAAGCAATGCATAAAGAGAAGAGCCATCTTGAGATAAAAAAGCTACGTTCAAGCCAGGTATATGAAAATACCTTCCATCGTTGAAATCTTTCTCAGAAGTAGTGTGTCATATAATTATATTAAATTCTAATTGTTTGCTCAGTAAACTGTTCCAGTGGGGATCAAATGGGCTTCCCTAGAGCTTGCCCTAGGGTCAAGCTGTTTCTGGGTATTACAAGACTTTCTAAAGTCAGTAGGGACATGCAGTCCTACTTGTGTGTTTGGGGTCCACTCAAAACCGTTACTAACAAGATTTAGATGTACAGATTCACATATTTACTTTAGACCCATTGTGCATGGTATTTTATAGTGTACCTTCCTGGTAATCTGTCAGATGAATGGGACATTGTGCCTTGAAACATAATGATTATTTGCACTACAGTTTACTATTTTCCCATAATTAGGGTTGTTATTTTGACAGAAGTATACTAAGTGTGTTCCTTTCTGTGGCTAAGATGGTACTGTTGCCTCACCCTTGGAAACCTGAAAATACTTAATTCAACCATCTTCTTGAGTACCTTGTTTTGTTTTTCCTCTAGTTTTCTTGAATATACATGTTCTGTGCCCCCAAATTTTTTTACAGACTTTACACATAATTTAATGAATGAGTTGAGGAATGACAATAAAAAGGTAGGAAAAAAGTAAAGGGAGAGAGATCATGATTGCAGCATAACTAGAACTTTAGATCTAAGCAGCTATGAACTATAAACAGTAATGATGACTGGTAATATTTGCCCTTCTAGACATTAAACAATGACCTGCTGAAGTTGTCCACATGTCTAAATGGTTATTATTTGCCTTCCTAGGCATTAAACAGTGACGTGCTGAGGGTGTCTACCCGTCTAAGTGCTTTAGAGAATGAACTGAAGGATAAGAGTAAGAACCTGAACAGTGGCAATATTGAAGAGCAAAGAAGAATATCTGATGAGGTCAAAGGCCTGCAGAAGGAACGGGATCATCTCTTGCAGAGGAGAGACAGCCTTGATGAGAAGTTGAAGAATGGCACTGTGCTGTCACCAGGGGTATATATGGATATATATATATACTTCACTTTGTCTTGTCAGTCACTTTTAAAAGCAGCCCCTTTGAGACTAAAGTAAAAGATACTGTTAAAATGTTTCACTATTTTTCGTTAAAGAGTGTATAAAGGGGCTCCGAATGTGAGATATGATCTAAATAAAACCTCATACAGAGGCTGCTATAACTCGCCTCTTTCTGAAAATGCTTGTTGCCTGTCCCTGTTTTTTTAACCAGTTGAAATCCGCGGTGTTACACCCCCTTCCCATCCAGGCCATTTTTCAGTATTCAGTATTTGACTGACATTTATTCCATCATGCAACGCTGTACTGAAATTAATTTTATACAATTTTTTAGCGACAGACAGCTTTCTTTTGGTGGTATTTATTCACCACTGCGGTTTTTATTTTTTACTATATTAAGTAAAAATTACCGAAATGTAAAAAAAAAAACGTTGCCCCTATATTAAATGATAAAACATTTATTATTACACAATTTTTTGGTAAAATATAAGAGACGGGGTCATGTCGGGTAAAAAGTCACCAAACATGTCAAGCCTTAAAATTGCGTGCGCGCGCAAAACCTCAAAAAACTATGATACCCATAATTGGCCATAGGCGACACTTAAAAGCTGTTACCGCTCATCAGTTTAGTGTTATCAGTGATTGATGGACCTAAAATGATTGCTCTCACTGCAACGTTCACGGCGATATGTAACGTGTGTAGCGCAATTGTCGTTTTTGCGCGCTGGTGCACCGGACACGTATTTCCGTTTATATTGGGGCTGGTACTGATGAAAATGTTCGATTTAATCGAAATTTTTTTTAATCGATTAATTTCGATAAATGATAACGCACATACAGATCCAACTACATTGGCCTATACACATCCAGCACAGCAATGAAGTAATAAAATGAACTAGGATCACACTAATCCAGCACGTTATTAATCTCACATGCCCCACTTAATATGGCCGCCGCTTGAGTGGGGCAACTCAGAATAATAACGTGCTGGATTAGTGCGATCCTAGTTCATTTTATTACTTAATTGCTGTGCTGTATTGTGTATAGGCCAATGCCTTGGCTGGTACTCGTGCAGAACAAGTTTCTTGGGCAAACCTCTTAGTTGTAACGAAACCGGAAGTCAGGCGGTCGCAGAACTCGATAAGTTCTCAGTGTCGACAGATCACCGGCCCAAGTGGCTCAGCCGGCTAGCGAAGGGAAAGGAGGAGGAGATCCGGTGACATCACGGACATCGACGTCACCGGACTCCTCCCCCCCTTCCCTTCGTTAGCCGACGGAGCCACTTGGAAGGGGGGAGGAGTCCGGTGACGTCACCGGATCTCTGACGGGACTCGCGGAAGACGGCGGAGATGTGAGTGTTTTCATTTGTGATCAAAATAATTGTAATTGATCAAAAATTTTAACGATTAATCGGGTAATTAATCGTTAATTTTCCCAGCCCTAGTTTATATGTGCGTAAACGTGGGGGTGGGGAACTTAAGATTTTTGGGGGGTTTTTTTTAACTTTTTTTTAATTTATATTGATTTTTTTTTTTTTTTTTACACTTATTGTTATTGCTATTACAGAGGGGGATAACAATCCCCCTCTGTAATAGCAAAGGCACACTGACAGATCCTCTTTATGGAGACATTAACACAAATCGTACAAACAGCGCTCTTGTAGTGGTATTAAGGGGGTAAAAAATGTGACCCTAATTAGTGTGCAGCCCTGAAACCCAGGAGGAGTGCCTGTGGATATGCAAAACAGAAAAACCAAAAAGGGCGCAACACTAGGTAGGCTGACTGGCCGGGTCGAACGACCCAGGGAAGGTGACAGGGAAAATCGTGTGACAATGGATGCAAAGGGCGAAAAACTAATTAATAGCTGAGGAAACAAAAACATTTTTTACTTACATTTTAAATCATGGGACCAGAGGATGGACGGCCTGTGTGAAGGATCGGGTCATCCGTGGTGTCTATCTGAAGTTGGTGTGCCGGAAGATGTGCATCCACACGGGGAGAGGAGACTGTGGACGAGGGGGAAAAGGGGGGGAGAGGAACCAGAAGAATGGGGACTCAGTCCGTGGCCCGCTGAGTGGGTCCAGGGGCTAAGTGGTGTGGGGGAGAATCAGCGGTGTCAGAAGCAGGCTGAATGGCTGTGGCCGCGGCTGTGGATCGTGATGCTCGGTCACTGTCAGCGCAGACTGGGGCAGTGTGCGGGAGCCGTTGGTTGAAAAATTGTCGGCTGTCAGTC